AACGCAACGCAGCATATTCCTTAGCATTGCATGGTAAAGTAACGACCTCTCTGCAAATAAAGCCTCTTTAAGTGAAGCCACAGGGCTAGATGGATGATGGTTCGGTGACTAGGGGTGATTGCTACCCCTGTAGGTGACCCACATTCAGTATCCAGGATCCATGTGGCAGCTCCCAATACACACATGGCAGCTCCCACCTGCCTCTCAGAGGATCTCATGCCATGTTCTGGCCTGATGGGCACTACAGTGCACATACATACAACACAAACAAACACTTACACATATAAAGATAAAACAAATGTTTACAAGAAAACAAAACTATAACAGTAACACAGTCATGGATTTTGAGTGAAAGAGAGGCTATTCCCCAACAAAAATCATGCCTAATTTATTTGTATTTAATATAAGCAGACGCTACATAGTTTGAAATCACCAAGTCAAACTACCCCTGCTTATTATTATTATTTAGCATAAATTTCTGAAGGAACTACTAGCTATCAAGTGGCTTAGAAATAAACACCTAATACACACACAGGTGGGTGGTGGAAGATGAACATCTCTGGAAGCCATTTTACAGAAAAACGTAAGGCTTTAGGTGACGCCTTCCACCTGGTTACTGGCAATTGAGCCAAGATTACTGACAATAACATTTTCCTTTTATTGCACAGAAAATAGCTCTGGATTTGCTCTTTGCTTTCTTCTACACGTGTACTTCATATGGCCATATAAGGAATACACTAGGTCACTGGATAAATAAAAAGTGATTTTCCCCTAAGTGAACCAATACACAATAAAGTAACAGCAAGTCTTTTTATTTTAAACCTTAGTAAATATAGTCTCCTCTAGAGCAATGTTATCTTTAATTAACACTTATTTGTTAGAAAATAGTGACTATAAATCAATTCAAGGTCGCTAGACTCTCCGAATATTAATGAAGATTTCCTTTAACAAAGGCAATCTGTGGGAGCATGTAGGTTAAAAGGCCAGCGTCAGGGTAAAATAATATTCTCTATTCACAATAAGGTCAGATGGAGTTTAGTCAGTCCCCTGACGGTTTCTTTTCAACAGGGAAACAAGCTCAAATAGGAAAACTGAAGGATGGCTTCTTTTAGCTGCACGGTAATTACAATTTGTCCATGATGTAATGAAGCATCTCGGCTATGTTATTTCTTTCAAATATAAGTAGCACACGGTGTTGATGACAGCGGGGTGGAAAAGCCACAAAGAATAGCTTGCTGCGACAGTGTGCATCTGCAGGCCACATTGTGTGACTACTGCCAGAAAACGGGGAGAGGTTCCTCTCTGTGAGGACACTAAAACTGAGCTACTGACAAAGGCTATACAAATATCTAGATGGTATCTCAAAACACAAAATAGACAAATGCTCACCCACAAGAAGTATCTGCTATGTTTCTACCTTAACAAAGGAACATGAAATAGAAAATTCTCAGGCTTTTCATTACAATTACATTCTTTCTGTTGCACAAGACTTGCAATTTGCTCTACTAGTGAAATGGGTTTGCATTCTAACTGCAGTCAGTATTGTTAAAACGGCATACCAACATATGCTAAAAAAAATGGTAGCTGTTTTAATGGAAAACATTCAAAGCTCAGCTTAGATCAGGGAAGAAATGATAGGCCCTTGGAAATGTATAAAAAAAAATAAGATGGGCTGATGTCCAGCTCAATGGGGGAAATGTGTTCTGAAGCAAACACAGTGACCTCTTAACAGCTGTGGAATCTAGGAAGCTGTGCAGGCTTACTGTAAAATTGTTTCAACTTTCCTAAGCTTACAGAGTTTCCTAATAAGTTGCTGGGGGTGGGGGGAGAAGCAAACCTTTTGAAAGCTGTTCAAAACAGTGAGAGAAACAGCCAACCCCCACAGAATGGTTCTGCAATAGACTAGGCAAGGTTTGCTGCTGATGTTTGCTAAACTGAAGAGGGAAAAGATTGACACAACTTTTCTTCTTTTTAACCCCCAGGAAGGAAAAAGGTTTTACCTTTGTACTGAGAGACAAAGTATGTAGAAAAGTGGGCTTATGTCAAATTTTATACTAAAGTTAAGTTTTTCTGGGACAATTTTGCATAGAAACTAAAATTTCTTCTTTATCTAAAAATATGATGATTAACTTCTTGCTATAGAACACTTCCATTTTTTTCTATAGTCTGGATTACCTATTCTTTTTGACAATATCCATTTACTATAAATCAACAAGAAAACATTCAATAAATTCTAAAACATCATTAAAAATTACCAGTGCATGGAAAACTTTGCTGACCTCTTCCATGATATGCATTTAATGTATGTATGTATGTATCCTAAGCCTTTCAACACAAATAGCTTACTGAAGAGGTGTAAACAAGACATGCTCATGTCTGAAGTTCTATCAGTGACTTTCTTTCAACATATCACACACCTGCATTGCATAAAACAGAAAGTGTAACTGAAAGAAATTTCTTGATTTATGGATCCATAATGATCTATAAATACACACGTGCTGTAAAGCAACTATGGGCATGCACAATGCTAAGCCCAGGGAAGAGCGAGTGAGGAAGACAAGGCACTGGCTTCATGAGATTATTTTCACAAAGAAATACAAGATGGCTATTTTATTTATTTACATTTTTCATTGAAAATTCATTCAATATATTCTAATCATGGTTTCCCCTCTCCCATCTCCTCCCAGATCCTTCCCACCAACCCCCGATCCAACTCCATGCCTTCCTTCTCTCCTTAGAAAACAAACAAGTAAATAAAAAAGCAAACAAAACAGAATTTTAAAAAGTGAAAAAGCATAACACACACAGAGACACAAAAGCAAAACCCACAATAAAACTGGAAAACATAATATACAAGTAAAAAGACTAATAAGATTTACAAGAAAAAAGTGCCCAAGCAAATCAATATGAGACACATATCTACAAATACTTCACTGAGTTTGTTTTGTGTTGGCCATCCATTACAAGGCATGGGGCCTATACGGGCAGGCAATTATAAACAGACTTAGCTCATTTACAGATGCAGTACTGTAATAGAGGATGCTCCTTTGCCTAGCTTAGAGACCTCTGGGGAGAGAGCCTAGGTGTAAAGGATGAATGGTGCTGAGCTAGGCTGAAGATGGATGACAGAATTCCACGCTGAAATGACAGCAAGGTGCACATGGCTGCATGTTTTGGACACAGAACTACAGGTGGGTCAGCATCACTGGAGAAAAGCTCATGGTACGCAGCATGGAAGGAGACTAGGGAGGAAGGCACTGAACATCCCATAGATAATCTCGGGGCTATGTAAAGGAGCATGGGATTTCTCTTGGCTTTCCACAGATGTTTAGAAAGGGGATGGCATCTTTAGGTGGTATCTTTACTAGAAACTCCGTTTCCTCCGAGGACAAGATGCCTAGAAAACAGAGTAATGGAAGTGAACCACCACAGGGACAGTAAGTATGGTTTCCGAGAAGGAGCAGACATGGCCCTGCATGTGGGGGTGACTAATATCTTGCTTGGGCAAATGTCAACCTTATCCCAACCAACGTACATACCACGGAGAAATACACCCAGCACGTGGAAAGGATGCATTCAGCTCTGGATGTGTGGGACTTGGTAGGTTTCTGGGTTATCTGGGGCTTGATTCTCAGCATTAACACAGCGGCTTATGCCCATCAGTAAGTCCAGTTCCGGGGATTCTGATGCCCTCTTCTGACCTCCATGGGCACCAGAACCACACCGGTAGCCGGATAAACATGAAGGCAAAAACATTCACACATAAAAATAAGAATTTGGGAAAAAAAATAAAACAAAACAAAAACACTAAAAAGAATTTTCAAAAGTATATCCCTAGTGTTCATGTTTAGAAATATTTTAAAATGCTTATCTGCTTCTAGTATATCTTATTTGGTGTCACTCAAAATCTTTTGCCCATTTTTCATGTTGAGCTGTTTTTTATTATTGCATTTAAAAATTCATTACATGTTATCTCATCTTTAGTTTATTAGGGTGTGTGTTGGGGGTACAGGTCTTCCGAGGGCAGGGGATAACTGTGGGACTGTTTTTTTTTTTTTTTTTTTTTTTTATTAGGCTCCAGGGGTCAAACTCGGGTTGTCAGATATGTGGAACAAGTTCCTCTACCATTTGAGCCATCTTGCTGACCCTGCTTTTTGCGTTTTGAGTATTGTTTGCTTTGCATAAGTCCTTTATCAAATTTCTGGTTTGCAAATACTTTCCTCTCAGTGTATGACTTTCATCTTTTGAAGGGAGTTTTTATTTTTTTAAGTCATAACTTTTCTCTCTTTTTACCATGTCTTTGATGTCATACCTAAGGAATCTTTGCTTAGACGGGTCGCAGATTTTCTTCCCTTTATTTTCCTCTAATTTTAGATCGTTCCATTTACACCCATGTTCTATTTTAAGGTGTGTGTGTGCTTTAATATGGTGCAAAAATTAAATCAATGTAGTGGCAACAGAAAGAACCAGCTCGAAAAGGCTTAGGATGAGACGTGCAGAGGTCAGACAACCTTTGAAGGAAAAAGGTCAGGCTTAGGGAAGCAGGGATAGACAGGAGGGCATACCGTCCTGAAGCCACCAGGAAAAATCTGAGTAGCCAGCACCGTGTACCAAGACGAGCAATGAACCTGTCTTTCCAGCTTGAACGACGTTTCGGTAAACCTTTCCAACCAATCCCTTTATAAGAATATTGGCAACAATCGCTGAGAGGTCTGAAGCACTTTTTTTTTTCCTTTCTTTTATGCATACCCCCCCTCCGCCATGGCATTACTTTTTAAAAATTACCCTTTAGTTACTAAGTAAATGGGGCTTCATTGTGGCATTTTTCGTCCGTATGTGTCATCACACTTTGTACTTAGGCATCCCTTGAGCACTCTTAAAAGGTCACTGTCGACTGAGGATGACTAACGCAGATCCCTGGGGGGGGGGGGGCATTCCAGCCTCAGATGCTGGGGACAAACCCCTGGAAGGAGTCACTGGCCTCTCCCGTGGGAACTTACAACCACACTCTGCACGGCTTGTCACCCTGTCCCCTCACCAGGGTGACCGCTGGGGGAAACTGCAGCAGATGCACAGAGCCGGGATTCTAATCTGAGCAAAAGCGGCGTCAGGCTTGCCGCGAGCGTGGGCACGCTGGGTCCTTTCCCGACCTTTGACCCCTGCCCCTGCGCAGGTCGGTCCTGGCCACTGCGGGAAGCTATCGACGGGTCCGGGAGCCGCCAGCCTCCTCCCGTTCTGCCCGTCGTAAAGTGCTGTAAAAAAAAGCCCTGAGCTTTACGGCACCGGCGGTGGGGCCCGGAAGGTCTGTCTCTGCCTGGCACATGGTTTGAGATCTGCGTTTATAGAAAGGCTACAGTGAGACTTTAAGGGGCGTTAGCGAAGCACCTACGAGTCTCGAAGCGGGTAATTGGATTCAACTTTACTTAAAAGAGTCATTCCAGTCGTTTCTAAGTGTATGCTTGATGTCAGGGTCTCAGACGTCACGTGCGGTGCGGTGCGGTGCCGTGCCCCTGGAGCACCATTGGTTTTTAATCTTCGTCCCTAGTCTTTAGGTCCCCGGTATTAGCTGACGTTTTGTTGTTCCCCTTCGCCCAGCAGTCTCCCCCGTCCCTGGAGTTCGAAATGCTTTACCTGATCGGCTTGGGCCTGGGAGATGCCAAAGACATCACGGTCAAGGGCCTGGAAGTTGTGAGACGCTGCAGCCGCGTCTATCTGGAAGCCTACACCTCAGTCCTGACTGTAGGGAAGGACGCCCTGGTACGTTATTAAAGTCGCCAGGTCTCTGGGGACGAAAACTAGCCGGCATCTGATTCTCGTACACTAGACTGCACAGAGTCTAAGCGTCTGCATTTTTTTAGACCCTTTTAAAACACACCCTGGGTCTGGAGAGGACAGAAAACGCACTCACACACTAAACCCACACACTAACACAGCGACTTGGGAAATGAAACGGTGGTTTGTCCTGCTTTACAATTCTAATGTTTGTGGCTTTCTCCAGGAAGTAAAAAAAGGAGAGTTATTTTACACTCTTGGGGATAGTTATCAAAATCCGTTATTTCATGAGCTAGCCAAGAAATCCTTTCGGAGTTGAGGGCTAATGAGGTGCTGATGCAGCCTTAATGAGTTGGTGTCCAGTCAGCGAGCAATCTGAAAGCGTCCGCCTTTGAAGTATTTCCACTGGGAACGGCGGCGATCGCCTCTCTGTCTGCAACATATCCAAAGAGATCTTACTTAAAAAAATCTCCCAGGAAGGCTGGCATTCCCACATGTGTATAAAGAGTGAACCCAAGACTAAGTATCCTGAGGATTTATTAGTGTATTGTATACCTTGAGCAGCTCTCATTAAGGGTAAATATGTAAATAATAAATATGAGCAGAAGGGTTAGTGTCTGGTTAATTGTCAGACTCAAAGTGGAACAAATATTGAGATAAAAGACTGATGGGTGTGTTGTGGGAGGAGAGGAAGGGCTTTCCAAATTGTCAAGTCTTCCAAATCAAAGTGCGAGCCACAGAGTTTCTGGCCTTTCAGATTCACAGCCCAGAGAATTCGGAAGGATGCAGCGTTACTTTGAAATCTTGAAGACTTGATTAAGGCTTGTTGTTGAGTTTGCCATGCATTATAACAAAAATAGTGTCTAATATCCAACTTGCTGGCCACACTTGCTGGTTGTGACTCTTACTTCAAGATGCCAGAACTGTGTCTCTGATCACTGACCGAAGGCCATAATGCGTTTACAACCATCTAAGAGAATGGGCAGGTTAATAAAATAAGGTGTTGGACAATAGCCTAGAAGAAAATTGGGACATTTTGTGCTTTGTGACATGTTCTTGGACAATTCCTGTACTTTTAGTTTCTTGTATAAGCTGAGGTCAGAAGAGTCTGCCTCCTAGGCTCTTAGAACAGTGCCTAGCGTGAAAGTTTTCAGACATTTTAGTCGGTACATGTCCAAGCTTCTGCCATTATTTGTCAAAGAGAAATAACCAATTAGAAGGTGTATGTAGTGTTTTATTAGGGTGTTTGTCACAAAGCTTTGTAAATAAATTATAAATGCTAGTAAAGTATTATTTCTCAAGATATTTTTTTTATTGTCCTCCCAAAGCATATTTGTAGTCATTACAGAGTGACAATCAGGGTTTTGGTCTGACCTACTCGTAAGTTATGAGTATGTTTTAAGGTGCTAGAATAACTGTAGTTGCATAGTAATGAGTGTTATGCTTATAAGACATTTATTTTGCTCTGTTTTGTTTATTTTCTTTACAGTGCTGAGAATTGAACACAGGGTCTCTCTCGTGCTCTGAAAGCTCGCTACCACAGAGCTACAATCCCAGTGCTCTGTAGTCATTGTTCACATTTCTTAGGCACACAGGTGTTTTAAAACTTGTCCAGTGTCGTACAGCTAGTGACATAGGCAAGAAACAGACTGAAGACAGCTCCGGGTTGAGAATTGCTGCTCCAGACTTGCGTACTGTCTTTCTGCAGTCTTAGCGATGGATAATAACTACACAAGTATGGCTTCAGGAATCACTAACAGAGAAGCCACATTAAGCATAATGGCTTGGCCTAGATGCTGTCCTATTACAAAGTTCCTTAGTCGTCTCTTCATGAACTCCTCCAGGTTCTTAATTTCTGTTCTTCCCTGAGCAGCTTGCCCCAGGATGCCATCTATCTTGTCTGTCATTTATAAGTTCATGCCTTATATTTCCAGTAATGTAGAGCTTTTCCCCCTCAATCACATTCTTTTTTTTACCCCCTTCATTTCTGTTTTCTTACTAAACTGATTTTTAGAAATTGTTGACTTATACCTATATATGAAGTCCTGTTTCAACTTATAAATAATTATATCAGAAGAAAAAATAGATAATTTCATTTTCTATCATGAACACATTCTTTCTACTTAGTAATGATCAACCAGTCAAGATTTTATAAAAGGCACATACAGGTGTTGCTAAAGAAATTCCAAGCTTGATCTTCCGTTAATCACAGTTTTCATACGGCCAAATGGTAGTTGTATTATATACTCTCCAAAAGAAATATAGAGACAGCAAGTCTGGGAAAGAGTATTAGTTTGGGTACATACAGCTTAAGCTTCCTAGGTAATTTCTTTTGATACATTCAATCTTATGTGCTTATTGGTTGAATGCATCTGTATTATATAAAGATGTATAAGCAATGTAGTCATTGTTACAAGTGGTCATGCTTCTGTCTGCATTATAAAACTTAATGAAAGGCTTAAGTAGGAATTTATAAAAGTAGTGGAAGGAAGAAAATATAATATGTCTAAAAATAACTGAAGCGGTTTTATCTAAACCAGAATTCTGGGACGCTGTAATATAAATCTGTCCCTGGAACCCACAAGGTAAAAGAAGAGAGCCAGTTCCTTCCAGTTGCCCTCTGACCTCCACATGTAGGAGATAGATAACTGTAGGAATGACACTGGTGGCATGTGGCTTCATAGTTGTTTTGGGGAAACGTTAGTTCAGTAAAGACCATTTTTTGCCATGGTATCTAGTTATCATATGTGTTCTCTTAGAGATGTAGGTATAGTTGTCCTCTGACTGTAAGTTTCCTGGTTTCTAAAATCAGAGTAAACCGTAAAGATTAATGATTATGAAAAAGATACACAGTAAATGTAAAAATAAAGGATTTGTTTTTTAAAATCTATGTAAGCAGTGTTATTGAGAGCTGATGAAATGTCTTCCTAGGTGAGGTTGTTTTCCCATTTGAGTAACAGATTTTATATAGGTATTAGGAAATAATTACCTCATTTGGAATTGTGGAATTTTTTTTGGATGCTTATTTGTCCATCTACTTCCTTGGTTGACAGATATTGGCTGCCACTGCTCCTATTGTAGCAGTCCCTATAATTTTTAATAACTCAGACTTCTTAATGTGGAGGAATAAATTTATTTTTTATTCATGTTTTTCTATTTTTGAATTGCATAGAATCTCAGGTATACGACTCATGATCTTGTATACTCTCATTAACCAGTATCACGTGACCACTAGTTCACTGGCTCACTCTTCTGGATTTGCTCTCTAGAGTTGAACTTCAGGAGATAAATTGACAAAGCAGCTTGGATGGAAATATCCTGTGTATTTAAATTTATTTCTTTTCCTGTAATTATGTAGGTCTGTTCATTTTTTTTCTTTTTTTTTTTTTTGGTAAATGGCTAAATCATAATTTTCTGTCATTTCTTATTGATGTGGCCTTTTATTTTAGCCAGCATACCACAAACGCTCCTGTAGAGATTGGGTGAAACATCTGCACTACCACGTGTCATTATTGTTAATGTATTCCATATTTTCATGTTTCAGGAATAGGGCTCATGAATACATAGTCTGTTCATCCTTTGGTGTCCTGCCTGGTCTATTAGACACACATTTAGAGGCCTCAGATGTTAAGAGGTCTGCCTTCTCTAGGGATCTGGTGATAGCCCCAAAGACAGAGTTTAATTGCTTCATGATATGGAGTTCTGGCTCACTGATGAGGTGTACTGAATGATCTGTGTTTGGATGGTTGCCAAGGTTAGCACCTAGTTCTAGACAAAGGTTGTTCTTCGATGTCTGTGTTGAAGACTCAACCTGCTGTCTCTCATTTTGATGTCTTGATATCCTACTTAAATTTCTAGGAAGAGTTTTATGGAAGAAAATTGATTCTTGCTGACAGAGAGGAAGTGGAACAAGAAGCAGATAATATTTTTAAGGATGCTGATGTCAGCGATGTTGCATTCCTGGTGGTGGGCGATCCATTTGGGTAAGTCAGATGGACACTGAGTTATTTGTTTACCAGCTCTGCTTATTCTATTTAAACCCGTCCATGTTAGGGTTTGATAAGTTTACCTGAGTTCTAACTAAAATTTTGTATTTAATTTTTTTTGTTTGGAAATTAATGAAGAAAATTTACTTGATAAAGATGTCATCCTAAGTATTACTGCCTTAACAAGTGTCAACACTAACATTTATTTCTTTGATGCTTTTGTTTTTGTGCAAGGTTATACAAGGTATCAAATACTATTAGCTAGTGTGTCATTATTAAATAAGGCACTATGCTATCAAAAGTCAGGTCTGCCATTTGCTTTGATAATTGCAAGCATCTTTGGCTTCTTTTGTTCTAAGCCCCCCCTTTTAATAATCTAATATTTGGCAATAATACTGTCACTTACTTGCCTTGGATTTATCATTTATCAAGCC